CTCAGGTGATGCATTCACTGACCTCAGGTGATGCATTCACAGACCTCAGGTGATGCATTTACTGACCGTGGGACTTCTACCTCCACGGGCTGCAGCTCAGTTCGGTCAGAGTCACTTTGAAGAGGAGAACACTGACGAGTCATTTGTTTCACCTTTTAAATTTTATTGCCATGAGTCTTGTTCCTCCTGCTCCAGGCGCCTCGTTACGGTGACCGTGGTCCACCTGCAGCAGCTGTCTGGGAACACCTGAGGAGGGTTCCTGTCCCAGCCTCCCTGCTGCTCAGTGAACTGCAGTAACCTCTGCAAGACGAGCTGCATTCAGGCGTCAGCAGCTTTTCTCTGCAGCTCAACTCGCCTTCATTGTGAAATAAAACCGCCGGCTCTGCTTTCAGCCCTCAACAAAAGCCTCAGGCAGCAGAGTCACAGCACTTCATTCAGCAGCACTGAAGACAGAGCCTGCTGCTGAGCTTCATCAGCCTCACACCAAAACACTTCACACACTTTCCAGCAGCCCGAGACTCTGGAAACGACAGCTTCTAGCCTCAAGTCCACATAAAGTCCACTTCTGAGGCTTTTTGGTATATTTGGCAGATCTTCAACGTCCACCTACTAAACTGGTTCACCTCTAAAAAAATAACACAACAGTTATTAAGGGAGTATTTAATGTCCATCCATCATCTCTACACTTTCATCCTCACCAGGCTCATGGGGGCGGAGTCTATCCCAGCTGACTCAGGGTGAAGGCAGGTTCACCTGGACAGGTAACCAGTCTATCACAGGGCTACACTTAGAGACAGACAACCAAGCACACTCACATTCACACCTACGGACAATTTACAATCACCAATTAACCTCAGCATGTTTCTGGACTGTGGGAGGAAGCCGGAGAACCCGGAGAGAACCCACGCTGCACGGGGAGAACATGGAGACTCCACGCAGGAAGATCCCGGGTGTCCTCACCGGGACGCCAACCGGTGACCTTCTAGCTGTGAGGCCACGGTGCTAACCACAGCGCCACCTGCAGGCCTGCGTTTATAATAATAACATAATAAACTGTTTAAATCACATCAAATGTGAGTTTTTATACATAACTTTACTGACAAATTGGTATTTTTTCATATTTTACATTTAACATGTAAATTCACAACATTCCTGTATTTGAAAAACAAATAAATATTCTGTAAAATAAAACAAAATAATTTGGTAAAACTAGCTTCAATTTGACATGAACTCACGTCGTTTTCTGGCCTTTTTAATATTGAACAGGTTTCACAGCAGGTCCTGTTGGTCTGAACGATGACGTGAATGAAACAGTAAAACCAGCATCATTAAATCATTTCATTTTAGATCATATTAAGCATCACGAGAAACAAAACTCAACATGAAAATCTAACACTTTGTAGATCTTATTTTACGTTTTCACATTAGAGTCACCAATTTACTGCATTTTTGTCATTTCATTGATTATTGTGTGTGTTTCAAAAATGCAGAAAAAAATCTGTAGAACATGAAGGAAAGGTTCAGACAGACTCCAGATGGTACAAAAGGCCACAGTGCTGCTGTGAGAGACAGTTTTTATTCAAACTTGAAGGAGTCGCCGGTCAACAGGTCACAGAGCAGCGCTGACGGAGGAAAAACCAGCACAAACATCATCATTCAGGAAAAACTGCTGCTTCTGATCCATGTGTGTCCTCAAACCGGAGCAGAACCTGAGAGGTAGAAGCTGAACACGGAGAAGTGAGCGCATGCAGGTGACCAGTAAATGTGATCGTCTGGAAAACCACGAAGACGCCTTTAAATACGTAACAGACAGAGTGTGAAAGCACACGCACCCACCGGGTCTGTAAACCCAGAACCTGAGCCTGTCACAGCTCCGGTTCTGACTTCTCTTCCATTCTGACCTTCATCTGAACCTTCTGTCTTTTGAGCCAGAATTTGACTTTTTTCTGATTTCTTTTTTCTCCTCCTCTAAACTCAGAATTTAAACTTGTTTTCTCTAAATTCTGGCATTAATTTCAAACTTCTGTAAAGTTGGAATTCTTACTTCCTCCCTCTGAATTCTGTCCACGTTCCCAGAATCCTAATTTTAAACTGAGAATTCAGACTTTTTCATCCGGACTTTGTTTCCTGGAACTCTGGCTCAGTTCTATATAAATGACACGTGAGCAGAACAGGACTCTGAGTTACTGTTTTGCACCAGCGGAGGCGCTATGCAGGTGATCAGACCAACAGACGCTCTGCATGTCGGAGCCGTCGTCTTGTCTTCGGTCCACGCATCCTGTGATTGGACAGCGCCGACCGTGGGCCGGAGCTACACACAGAACGAGAAGAACATCTGTACAAGGTCATTAAAGGTCGTATGGTCTCCAAGGAAACGCTGCTGCAGTTCATTTTTCTGATTGGCTGCTCAGTGAGCTCAGCAGCATCCTTTCAGGGAATGAAGAAAGACAGGTTTTGTTTTTTTAAAGGCGCAGTGTCTGAACTTTTGGATCGCAGCTCCTACAAAGCTAGTTTTGGGGTTTTGGACTCTTTGCTCAGATAAAGTCTGAATGTATGAAGCTGCGACCCTCAGCGCCGTCCAGCGGTCCTCCTCCACTAAAACCATCAACCGCAGATTTAACTGTGCAAAACATAAAATAAAGTCACAAACTGCAGCTGTTCTCCAAAAGTGGAAAATCCGGTAACATCGCTCCATGGAACCGGACGTGAGTTCAGCGCCTGGTCCAGACAACAGAAGTGGGGTTTGAAGGCATTCGCTGGGAGCTGTTGGTGTAAACGTGACGTCGACCGGCTGAAACTGTAGGAAAGCCGAGAGGAGTCAACGCTGTGAGCTTCTGCAGGCTTCAGGTTCACTGTTAAAACAGTAAAACTCAGGATGGTGCTCATGTGGTGGCCGTCTGGACCTCTGCAGCCGTCTGAGCTGCGTTCTGACACAAACCTGGTTGTGAAACCTCAAACATGTGAAACACACGGAGAAGGACTCCTGAAACCTTGTCCATGAGGTTTTCTTTGTGTCCACTGATGAAACAGTCACCAGCTAATACGTTAAAACCACCCAAACCTACCGAGCCTCCTCAGAACCGCTGATTCTGTAGCTACAGTAACTTCACTGTTCTTTAACCTGCATAGCGCCTAGAACTGGTTCTGACCAGCCACCATCACACACGCTGACATGAGCCTGGAACGTTTACCCAGAATGCACTTTGTAAAGTTTCCTCTGGTGACTGATCAGAACCAGAACCACATCCAGGGTACCACTGATTGTTTCTGTGACTCCATGTCATAGACATTAAACTGGTACCGCTATGATCCATCCCATAATACTGATGCTACCAGCTGCTGACAGGACATGAACAGAACCAGGTCCAGTGTTCAGACTGAGACACCTGGATGGATGTAGAACTGATCTGGTGTCAGGTTCTAGCAGAACCCAGATGTGTTCTTCCTCCTAAATGTCATGTGTCTATCTGCTGTACTGATGAAGTTCTGAGGCTCAGAAATGATGGAAAAAGTCCATTAAAGTGATCAATCTGGACCCTCCTCTGTGGACTTGAAGGACCTGGACCTCTGGAACATTCACAGTCTGAAGGTAGAACTCTGGTCAGTAGATAAAGGTGCTGCAGAATCAGAACCAGGTGTTCTGAGGAGGTTCTGGAGGCTGTGAGTGATGAGGGCTAGCGTCTGCCGGGCGTGTTCAGTAGGTAAAAAGTAAAAGAATTCATAAACGTGTTGGTCCAGATTTTGTTCGGTCTTCATTTAACTGAGTTCTAAAAACATTTTGGCAGAATTCTGAGAATCTCATATTTTTTCACAACTGGGAAATCCTCTGGTGTCATTTGTTTTTTAAACGTCTCACCTGTGGAGCCCTTTTAAAGGTTCAGCACCTCCAGAAGTCCACCAGCCAGGTTTCTATGGAAACTGTCTCTAAGGCTAAATACCCCTCATCTGCTGAGAAACTAAACCTGAAGCATCCTGTAGCTCTGCAAATCCAGAACCTGGTCTGGTCCAACTTCACCACACCAGGTTCTGCTGATGTTAGAGCCTCAACAGGTGGTGGAACATGGATCCATCCATAGAAAGACACTGACAGGAACCCTCTGGATCAGCACCAGCCTGGTTGTTTGCACCGGCCTCACCGACAGCTGAACTGTGTCCTGATGGACCCTTTAATCCTCAGTCTTCTGAACCTTAAAACGGCCTCACAGGAAAGACGCTTTGCTGATCATTAAAATAAATAAATGTTGTGCGGAGCGTCGCTGTGGGTCCCGGACACCAGACCCGTGGACTCTTAAGAAAATGTTTCCCAGCAGGAGGTTCGTGGATCCCAGTTTGGTCCAATAAATACTGAGCAGGTCAACGGTCCTGGTTCCGGTCTCTGTATGTAACTCGGTGGTGTTTGTTCATGTTGCAGCAGGACGCCTCCGTCCCGTTAAGACAATCTGGTTTGTCACACTGTTTACGGCGTCGCCATGGAAACCAAGGAGCGGACCGCTTCGTCCCAGAGATTTCTGGTTCTGGTTCACAGCCTCTCCGGCGGTGGCATTTGGCAGCTGGAAGGTTTTGGTCTTGAGAGGAGGTGGGGGGTTTGACAGAGGGCGAGGGGGCGGCGCCCTCTGCAGGGTCACCAGTAGAAGGAGCGCGACAGGAAGTTGGCGGCAGCGCCAAGCCAGCTGGCCCCGTCCTGGCCAGATCCCACTCGGCTCACCGCCTTGTCGGGCTCCTGAGATGGACTCTCGTCTTCAGGCAGGTAGTCCGGCAGGTCCACGTTCTGCTCCACCTCCACCGAGCCGTCCTCTGAGAACGGGATCAACACCTGGAGACACCGACAGGGAGACACCGGCTGTTAGAGCAGACGTGGTTCTGTTGGACCCTAAACTGTACTCTGTAGGTTCAGGACCGGAGCGGGACGACTCCACCTGTCCGACCCAATGATGACGGTTTGCTCCACTAAAATATGGCCAAAAGTCTGTGGAAGTATTCAGAGCCAACAGCACGTCAAGCTCACAAGCTGCGTCATCCAGCTGTCCACATACTTTTGGCCAAATGGTGTATTTGTTCCAGAGAAATCAGCACATTTCTGTATGTGTTAAAGTATCTGTTTACATCGTCTGTGGCCAAAAGTATGTGGACACCTACCGCCATACTGCAATACAAGCAACATGTACATGTCCACATACTTTTGGACATAGAAAGTATTTACTCCAACGAAACACTTTACAGAAGAAGAAGTGACAAAAGTATGTGGACACATTGGAGTCAAGTCTATATTAATCACAATAATCACAAACTTTCATCTGTCCACATACTTTTGGTCAGAGAGTGTACTACTTTCTGTCCACATATTTACAGTTTTAAAGGTTAATTCCAGGCAAAACAGTACATCTTTGTTTTGCCAGAGAAAAGTAGCTGATCATCATTTAATGAAGACTGTTGAAAGTTTGCATTCCTTATCCAAACATGATCACAAGTTGGACACGCTGAAGGACGACTGGATGCAATATGTAAAATCTGCCATGTTGGATGCTGAGCTGCTGTTTACAAAGTTTACACAGTTTAAAATGTCTCCAATGGAGACCTTACATTGTTTAACTGAACATTTTGTCTCCTGCTGCGTTGGTAACCGTATTTTGGTTCTTTTCACTTGAGCCCACTTTCTCCATCTGCAGCAAACAAGCCGTCCTTTGTTGGTTTCAAATCCGTCAATCAGATGGAGAGTTCAGAGCAAACAGCTGTAGCTCTGCTGTGCTCCATGGTCTGTTGGGTCGCTAAGGCAGCCAATATAACTGACCGAAGGAGACGCAAAAGCAACAGACGCACAACATCACTGCACACAAACACCCACCAGCACAAAGCAGAGACCAAGACACACTGAAAGAGAGAGACATAAACAAAGCAGAGACACAGAAGCAAATGCAAGAGACACCAAATGAGCAGAAGCAGATGCAAAACCACAGCAAACTGAGAAATATGGACAAGTAGTAATACTGTAAGGATAGAACAGGATCGACACAAGTGTCCAGACCTGCTGCTTGTGAACTTCACAAACACTTTATTGACGGTTCGTGTGTCACTGTGGCTGTTTGCGTCTCTGGAGCTGTTTCATGTCGATCAGTCTACAGATGATTTTATCGGCGCCTGTGTTCATTCAGCTCTTTGTTTCTGTCTCTCTGCAGCCGTTCTGCATCTGGCAGCTCACCAGAGGTGGTTTGATCTCTGCAGTGGTCAGCATCTGTTTGTGTTCATTCTGTGTCTCCTGGTATCAGTGTTGAGTAACTTGGCATCGGAGCTGTGAACAAACTGACCTCGTCTCCGTCCTCCGCCTTCACCACCTGCTGAGCCTTCATCACCTGAGTGGAGGCGATCGCAGAGGCCAGAGCCTAAACACACAACAACAACAAGAGTCTGTAAAAACAGATCAGCCTCCATCAGGAGCATAGAAGGGGCACAAATGTACAGCTCATCGTGACAGTGAGGTTGTTTCTGACCGACAGGCTTCTTCTCTGCTGTTTCATTTATCCATGGAATCAGTAAAGTTTAGGACAAAATGAGCTTTTAAACTTTTAAATAGCTCTTTAATCTGGTCATGTGGAAAAGCTGCATTTTCTCAAAATTGAATTTCCCTTCTGGGACAAATAAAGTACTTTTCATTTCAAAATGTAATAATTTCAAGGGTATGAATAATTTTGAACATTTTCGTAAATATAGCCCCTGCATGTGGGGACTACAGCTCCTGTATAGGGGGACTATAGCTCCTGTATGTGGGAACTGAAACAGCTCAGAGTCATCACTAACTCAGGCTGTCACAGCTACAGACACTGGGGTGAGTAATTTCGGTGATATTCTGGGTTTTCCCTGAACCTGACAGATTTACCAGTTTAATCTGGAGACCTGACTTGCCCGAGAACACACTGTATCCTCCATAAAGTCTGAGAGATAAAGGATTCCTTCAGAACCCCATCATGCTTATCTGTGAAACCCAGCTGCCCTGCTCGGTCCGCCCAGTGCAGACTGAACCTCTGATCCAACAGAACCTCACCTCGGCCTTCAGGTCTGAGCGGATCCGGACGATGCATCTCTTGACGGCCATCTGGAAGGTGAAGCTGATGACCCCTCGGATCTTCAGCAGAGCCTCCTCACACAGACTCCTCCGACTCTGAAAGATCACAGTGGTCAGTTCAGCGTCTGTCGGATTCCAGCAGCACCAGCAGAAAACTGCTGCGTCATCAGAATGTTAAAGTCTCACAAAACATCCACAAACAAACAGGACGGCCACAAAGTGACAGAAAATAATCACAACAACAGAACAATGACAACAAAAAGACAAAATTGCAACAAATAAAGACACAAAACAACTGCAAAGACACATCATGATCACAAAAAGACACAATTATTATATCCAGCAAACACAACCACAAAGAAGTGAGAGAATGACCACAAAGACACACACAGGACTACAGAGTCACACAAAATAACCACAAAGACCCACACATCCACCACATAGAGACATAACGCAAACACAAAACTTCAAAATTGAAGACAAAGACACAGAGCAAGACATACAATTGCCACAAATTGACATAACATGACCACAAGAAAGAATAATGACATTGAAGAGAAAGAAAATGATCACAAAGACACAAAATTATGATGAGGAGTCACAAAACGACTGGAAAGACAGGAAATGACCACAAAAACAGATGAAAAAGGGACACAAAACAACCCCAAACAGACACAAAATGACCACAGAGACACAATTTGACCAGGAAAGATGTGCCCAACAAGACCTTATATTCACAACAAGCAAAAACGACTACAAAGAGTCCCAAAATGATCACAAAACATCACAAATGGACCAGGACAACGTCCCTGCTGCTGTGTATAAATGTGCAGCTGCTCTCATTGGATCCTGTTTAACAAACTCAGAGGAAAAACTCCTGAACGTATCTGACCTGATACAAACTCTGCCTTCAGTCACGTTTGATTTTTATGAACATTTCACTTTAACAGACGTGACAGTGTGACCAAAGTGAAGAAAAGAGATGTGTTTTCTGCTCTTTGTAATGATTTTGGATCAATATTGGAGCTGAAGTGTGATAATATTATTCAAATGTCTTGACACAGCTCCAGGCGTGTGTTTACTTGTGTGTCAGTGTGAATGCAGGCAGTTCAGACTGGAGATGAAAGGTACATTTAATGAGCAGGGATAAACCAATTATCTACATTTTGTTACTAGTGTGGTTATTTTTATTGACCGTTTATTAAATAAAATGTTCTCCTGTGGCTCCAATGCTCCTCCTCCTGGTCTGGGACCCGCCCTCAGCGCTGTCTGATTGGTTACTCATCATGAATAACAGCCAATCACTGACAGGGATTGTTTACAGACAGGGACAGATGAGCACGACTGAATTAGCTGTTTAAAGGTGAGGTCGTAATGAAACCCACAGCTGCTCAGTCTCACTGTTGCCACTGAGAGACTAGCTGTGCCGCTTAGCTTGCTGCTAACGCTACCTGCAGCAGCGCAACATGTGTCTGAAGTCAGATTAACTCCATCTCTCTGCTCTAAGTGACAGACTCGTCTCTCTGCAGAGACTCAACCTGTAAGAACTGAACAGAACCACAAACATCTGCAGTAATCAGGACGTTAGCTGCTTTCACTACCGACTTTTACATCGAATGGACATTTAGACATGAAGCCGACATGCTCACATTAACAGCTGGATCGTGAGGTGAATGACTGAGTGAGTGACTGAATGACTGAATGCGGTCCGGCCACGGTGCTCACCGGGTCGTCGAGCCCGTCGATGTGGAGGATGACGGTCTTGGCCCTCTTGTTGCTGGAGCCCAGGAAGAACTGGGCCTTACGGCGGCCGCTGACGGCCTCCTCGGCCGACTCCAACTCGGCGCCGCTGGACGCCTGCAGGAGTTCGTAGATCTCTGACGCCAGCAGCTTCGTCTCTCCGGGAGTGGTCGACCTGACGGAACCGGAGATTATTTTTCAGATTTAGACTCCTGAAGAGGAGATATCGAGTCGAGTGCAGCCGCTACGACGCTGAAACGCATCATGTGTGATGTGTGCTTTCTCTGGAGACCAGAACAAACCTAAACTCAAAACACTGATAATTCACTAACATTCATTCATTCTTTGGCTTTTTCTAAAATGCTAAAAATACGCTGTTTGCACTAATCAGATCCTGTAGAACCAGAACCAGAACCTTCCTCCTCCTGGTTCTGATCCTGTAGAACTAGAACCTTCCTCCTCCTGGTTCTGATCCTCCACCACTGACCCAGCTGAGACCAACAGGAACCATTCAGAGAGCTTCAGGTGAGCTGCAGCCAGAGTTTCCTCAGAGAGACTGAAGGAGAATCCATCCTACTGGATCAATGAGTGGATGCAGCACGGATCAGAACCAGAGACCAGAGGAGCCAGTTGGTGGAGATACATTCAGCTGATGGTGGAACATCTTTCTACTGATGGTGGAACATCTTTCTACTGATGGTGGACTTTATACGACAGAAAAAAAAATCAACCAGTGAGGAAAAAACGAGCGAGGAGGTAAAAACACCCACAAACTGCTGCTTCTTTTTGAACCAAACCTGTTATTAGATCAAGCAGACAGTTTATTCTGCGATATCTACATTCATTATGAACATGTGAAGCAAAAACCAGAATAGAGGATGAACCAAGGCTCAGACACCTGTGCAGGTACGAGGGACTCACTTCTGCACGACGTTCTGGAGGCTCAGCATCATCCCCAGCTCCCCCTTCAGCTTCTCCCGGTTGGCTCGGCATTCTGCCAGGTACCGGATGGCCTGAACAAGGACCCAACAGAACCTCAGACATGCTCCATTTAAATATCTGCTCATTTAACACAAGCAGGCAAACAGGACCTGAACTGAAATGATGCCCTGTTGAGGATTTTTTAAAAATAATCCATTTAGAGACACTGTAAGAAGAAGAAGAACATATTTTTAGTCAGAAATAGAAAACAGAACACGTTTTCCTCGACTTTTCTGATCTTCTACATGCATATTCTGTACATAATGAACTTGACTGCTTCTTTTGCACTTCTGAGTAGATGCTAATCTGCAGGTTCTTGTCGTCGTTCTTTACTCTGAGCAGAGAACCACTGAAACTGAAATGACAGTTCAAACCCAGTATAAAGGCTCTGAGAGGTTCCACATTATGACTAATTCATTCATGCGTTTTAATAAATCATCAAATGGAAGCAGACACTGTGAGTAAGGCTGGACCCAATCAAAGCTAAATGTTCTGACACTGCTTCCTGGCAGGTTCTGGAAGTAAACGGTCCTTCCATCGTCTAGAACTGGTTCTGACCAACCACCATCACACATGCTGACATGAGCCTGGAAAGTTTACCCAGAATGCACTTTGTAAAGTTTCCTCTGGTGACTGATCAGAACCAGAACCACATCCAGGGTACCACTGATTGTTTCTGTGACTCCATGTCATAGACATTAAACTGGTACCACTATGATCCATCCCATAATACTGATGCTACCAGCTGCTGACAGAGGACATGAACAGAACCAGGTCCAGTGTCCAGACTGAGACACCTGGATGGATGTAGAACTGATCTGGTGTCAGGTTCTAGCAGAACCCAGATGTGTTCTTCCTCCTAAATGTCATGTGTCTATCTGCTGTACTGATGAAGTTCTGCGGCTCAGAAATGATGGAAAAAGTCCATTAAAGTGATCAATCTGGACCCTCCTCTGTGGACTTCAAGGACCTGAACCTCTGGAACATTCACAGTCTGAAGGTAGAACTTTGGTCAGTAGATAAAGGTTCTGCAGATACAGAACCAGATGTTCTGAGGAGGTTCTGGAGGAGCTTTGTTCAGATTTGGTTGATTTTATGTGGAACCAAACGTCACATCACTGCTGCTCCACTTTACTTTCTGGGGTTCAAACATGTGAACGTGTGAGTCTTTAAGCAGCAATGAATGAATGACAGGAACTCACCAGCAGGGCAGAGTAGACCACCTGAGGGTTGGGGTGGTCCAGGAACAGGATGAGTCCCGGCAGGCAGCCCTGGTCCTGGACGATGGCCCTGCGGTTCATGGGGTCTGCAGCCAGGTCCCTCAGCTGGTTGACCACGGCGAGGGCGTCCGGCTCGGCGCTCATGGCTGACGGTCACTGACCCATGCAACAACCAGCTGAGGAGGCAGCAGAAGCAGACTGGGATCAGAGCGGCTGGTTTCAGTGACGGGCTCCAGACAGCCGACTGTGTTACAAACCAGTGAGGAGAGGAGGGCGGGTCCGACACCTGGTGATGTGTTCAGGGGCAGGCAGAGATCTCCACTGGGTCAGTGAAGCAGAAAAGGCAGCCTCACAGTCAATCTTGATAGTTCAGCGTTTGACAGCATTAACCATCCTGACGATAAACACGATGAGCTGCGCGTGGACATTTAAAACGCAACACACCTGAGTTCTACAGACGGTACTGACCACTACTGCTCATCAGTCTGAGAGCACTATAAGGGAGTGGACCACCAGCCCAGGAAGAGCCAGCAGAGGAGCTCGTCTGGAGCCCTGCGGTGGTTCTGGAGCAGACACTGGAAACGTCCCAGAACCAGTTTTCTTTCTTTTCAGTTTGGAAACGTCAAAAAGAACTACAGTAATGAAGTATGTAGTGTTTATATGTTAGAAGTCTGACTGAGAAACACTAACATCTGTAAGATCTGCAGTAATGTCCTCCAAACGGTTTGTTTGTCATCTGCACCAAACGTCTGTGTTTTAATGTACAGTACTTTCCACCCTAGTGGACCCAGTCAGGCTGTCTGCCGAACCGCTCAGAGCCACCTGTTGTCTCCAGCAGCATCCGGAAGCTCAGCGCCAACATTTGCACAAGTGAAACATCAGGACCGTCACATCAGCCGGCCGGCCCAGAACATCCACACCGGTACCGCTAATGCTCTGCGGTATCCTCTACTGAACGGGAAGACGGTCAGTCAGCGGACCGGTGCGGCCTCACGGCCTCCAGAACCTGCTCTGACGGCAGCGGGCGCTGTCAGCCGTCAGGCCGGCTCTTGGGCGGTGCGGTTCGGGTCAGAACAGCTGTGTGAGTCTCGGAACTAAGGAATGCTAACGGCGCTCACCTCTGACGGTCACCGGCACCGAGCGGCGGGCTAACGTTAGCTTCCGGTTAGCCTCTGCTCCTCTCCTCGGTCTCACGCCGCGTCCGCAGCGGACATGAAGCTCCGGTGATCGGCAACAGCACCTGGAGACGGAGGCGGTTTAGTTTTGTTCAAAAATTACTGGAATAAACCGCGGAACACGAAGCGGCGTCTCTTCCTGCTGAAAAGCAGCCAGCGCGGCCACGTATCAAGACCGCAGTCTGTGATTGGCTGCCTGCTGGCCATGTGATTCTACAGACCAATGAGGTGCGTTGTTCAATGAGTTAAAGGTCCAACGCCCTGTGGGCGTCGAAAAACTGATGCAGGATCAGTTTGAGTGTCTCAGCTGATGATTGGTTCATCTCCCAACAGCTGACACAAACACGCACACACACACACGCGCGCACACACGCGCGCACACACACACAAACACGCACACACGCGCGCACGCACACACACACACACACACACACACACACACACACACACACACACACACACACATCTCCTGAGAACTTCTCAGCGTCCAGACAGACCTGAAGGATGATGCTGTTCCTCCAGAGTTCTGCAGCTCACCTGGTGCATGTTGGTGTGTTGGTCCCGGTGGATCCTGTCTCCAGTCTGAGGGTCACAAATGTCTGAATTGCCAGAGCTGCAGAAGGGGAATGAAAACGCTTGTTTCTTTGTTTTAAAGTGAGTTCTGGCTGATTGATGCTTCACTTGTGGTTTTTCAGCTGCCCCACTAATGGTGAAGGACTGCTCACGTTTCCTCAGCTGGTCAGATCCATCAGCCTCTGACTGTCAGCGTTTCTCTTCTTTGATTGTTGTGGTGAAGCGTCCACAGCAGCAGATGAGATCTTTACAGCATGCTGGACTTGATTTAAAACAAAACACAAGTCGAGTCAAAGCTGAAAATATGGAGGAGCTACAACACTTTGGACTAAGATAAGATCAGCCTTTTGTTGTCAGCAGCTTTACACACAGAGAAATAACAAGCATAAAAATATACATAAAAAAGAATAGTGGAAGCATAGAATATAAAAAATGAGGATATATATATATATATAGAATATATATGTATATATTTATATATATATAATCTGCAGAAAATAAATAATAATAATAACAATAAACAGTGAAAATGCAAATATATACACATGTAAATAAATTGTGCAAATAACCAGTGTAATATAAATATATTATGTCTAGATATGAATGGTTCAGTCAATTGTACATAAAAGAAAAGGAGATATTGCACGTTGTGGGTCTACTGGGAGCACAGCTGGTTGTAGAGTCTCACAGCAGAGGGGAGGAAGGACCTGCAGTACCTCTCTCTAGAACAGTGTGGATGAAGAAGCCTGGCGCTGATGGAACCTTCCAGGGCTTTAACAGTCCCATGCAGAGGGTGGGAGGTATTGTCCATGTGTGATGACAGCTTTGTCATCATCCTCCTGTCACCCACCACCTCCACAGGATCCAGACTGCAGCCCAGGACGGAGCCGGCCTTCTTCACCAGCTTTGATTCCTTCCATTCAGAGGAAACATCACTTATACCTCCCCAGAAACTCTCAAGTCTGTCCGTTACACATCACTACCCATGAGTTGGACTCATGACAAAAAGTCAAGCTGCCCTGGTTTCCATGTTCCAGGCCCAGCTGTGGCAAAAACAAACCTGTTCTATGTTAATGTTACACAGGAAATGCTCAGGCATTCTCAAAGCCACGTCAGTGATCAGACAGAAGGCCAATAAGGTTGATATATTAACAACAATCAACAATGTAGTGCTTGTCGTGGCAGCTTTGAGTTTCCAGTGATTCCTAAAACTTTTCTTGGATGGAATCATTGAAACACACGAACCTTTGCCACAAAAACAATCTGCTTGGTCAAAAATATCCAAACAGCAGCTTGACATAGAAAGTTGTGTTCATCAGACTTTCATCGTGGCCTCTGAACATTAGACTATGACTGAACACAGCAAGAAGTTTGCTGCTGATCACGTGGACAAAGAAAAGAGTTCTGCTGGAAAGATTCAAGATTCAAGAGTTTTATTGTCACATGCACAATGATCATTATACCACACAATGAAATTCTTATTCTGTTCAATCTCCCGAAAAAAAGACGACACATTGAAATAAATAAAGCAAGCAAATAAGAACAACAATAAACAATTAAAAGCAACAACGAAGGGTTCAGTGTTATGAATGTGTGCGTGTGTTGCGTGCAGTTTGTGTGAGCGATTCATTGAGAAGCCTGAGGGCCTGTGGGTAGAAGCTGTTGGCCAGCCTTGTGGTCCTGGACTTCACACTCCTGTAGCGTTTGCCTGATGGTAGGAGTGTGAAGAGTGAGTGTTGCGGATGTGTGCTGTTCTGTGGTCAGATGGAACTAAGATAATTCTGATTGATGGTTTCCATGAGGCCCAGGAACAAAGCTCTCCCTGCCACCTTTGAGGGAACACAAACCAGAGGAAACAACTCACAAACAACACAACACCCAAAACAAATGCTGACTTTGGGTTAACCCAAAGCCCGGTGTCCTTTCAGCTCCTCACATTCACACAGGAAATCAATCAATGAGCCAAACAGACCTTTTAAATTTAGTGTACGATGCCAAGAGCAACAGCAGACAAACCCAAATTTGTGGTAAACCACCCATTTGCCAGACACCAGCATGGTGTGCAACATGCTGGACTTTATGCACATTGTTAATGTTCGTACCTATTCTGTGTAAAGTTACGTTTGGTTTTTTGGTTTTTAATTGACCTAAATGCTCCCCTCTCAGTTCTTTTAGCAAAAAATTCATTTGATGATGGTGATGATTGGTTTGTCAAAACCTACTGTTCTTGGATTTCCTTCGAAAAGAAAACCTCTTTTCCTGTATACAAGTGAGTACGATTATATATATATATAAACCCCACCCACCATTCTTCTGATTGGTTGAAAAGGCAATTAGGCGCCCATGTGAATAGCTTATGAGCACTGTGAGGTAATTAAAGGGATATTACAACCTTTAATAGTGGCTTTTTTGAAATTTTATGTACAGAAATATTTGTATAAATTACATTAAACCATGTTTTCCCCAAGTAATTGTTGTAGTATAAACAAAATGAGCTCAATTATATGTGATGGGATTTTGGTCCTACTACAACCTTTAATAGCAAAGTTATTAAAAAATTTATGACAGAATATTCCAAAAAAATTACATAAAACCATATTTTCCCAATAACTGTGGTCATATAACCTGCCTGGATGGGTTGATTTATTTGACCCTACACTATTCCTTGGCTACACTATTGATGTTTTTGTCTCTCTTCCGTATCGCACTTTGTGGACGGTCCCTGCTCCGTCCAGCCACAGCCCACAGCCCACAGCCCACTGCACGCAGCTCAAGTCTCGGACGAAGGGCGGCTCGTGATGCTTCAAATGCAGCTTGCAGTCTGCAGATAGAAGGGTTGTTTTTCTGAAAGCAATGTTCCCTTAATTACTTATTGACACGGGAACCGCGCATCTGTGAATATCTTTCTAACTTACCGAACCTGCGAGATCATGAATGAATATGTCAGGAAAACAAACTCCGTTTTCTCGAAATAATTATCTCGTCATTTCGAGAAAACGGAGTTTGTTTTCCTGACATATTTATTCATGGCTTGTAAAACATAAAACAGAAACAAAAACATGTCCTCTTAGGGCTTCCGTAAGAACGTGTCGGTGATGCTACTGAATGTTGTGGGAACGTTCCCTGATTGTTGAGATTCACAGCCAGCTGGTGGAGGTAATGGTGCACCACAGAAGAAGAAGAAGAAGAAGACGAAACCAGGAAGTGAACGAAGCAGCAGCACCACAGAAGAAGAAGAAGGAGTTTAGCTGCTGTGTGTCGTCGTATCTCAGATGAACATCTGAACAGTTGAAGTAACGATGAGCTCAGTTCAGCATCTGAGAGGTTTGATCAGCGAGCGACTCACTGCTGCTGCTGAAGAAATATTCACAGAGTTTGAGAAAAGCATCGTCCAGTACGAGGAGGAGATGGATGGTCAGCGCAGACTGCTGGATACCAGCTGGAAACCACCCAGAAGCTCCCACACTACAGGTGAGTCCACGCAGGAGGAGGAGCTGAGCACCGGGACATGCAGCTAGCAGAGAGCGGACAGGCTAGCATGCTAACGGGACAGCAGGCCGTGGGTCGGGGCTCCGTGGACTCTGTGGGCTTCACGGTGGGCCCTGTTCTGCCACAAACTGCTTCTGCTCATGTCTCTGCAGGATGTCACTGCTCTGTGCGCTCAGCCAGAAGCCATCCAGCTGTTTGTACGGCTACAACAGCTGGACTCAGATAATGCAGCTTCACAGCTGGAATGTTGTTGATGCATCAAAATGAGCTGATTTCATTCATGACGGTTGTACTTCACAGGTTCTGTCCCACAGGAGAGCTGCAGGACACATCAGGTCTTATTACAAACGTCTCGGCCCACTGCCAGCGCAGTCTGACTCTGAAGTGGTAGAACGTGGATGGATGTGTGTTTTACTCCCATTGAACTAGGAAACTATTTCTTATGTCCTTTTCCCTCCAGACTTTGCAGAGGAGGAGGTTCTCGCTGAGCAGCAGATGTGTAACCAGGACAGGAAGTCCAGGTTGGACCAGGAGGACCCTCGGCCTCCCCGCATTAAAGAGGAACAGGAGGACCTCTGCACCGTCCTGGACCAGGAGGACCCACAGCTTCCTCTGATGAAAGAGGAGCAGGAGGAACTGAGCATCGGTCTGGATGGACAGCAGCTGGAGCCGGACCAGGAGACGTACACCTTCATGCTCTTACAGTGCAAGTCCAAATGTGAACAATTAGCTGGAGAACTGTTCAGAATCTTTGAAAAAACGATGGCTCGGTACGAGGAAGAGCTCGATCGTCAGCGCAGACTGCTGGAAGTCGTCTGGAAACCTGAGATGCCGTCACACACACCAGGTATGTACAGCGAGAAGGATCTGACACGGCAGCCTCAGTCGGACCTTCATCACAGCGACCCGTGACCTCAGTCTGTACTGTGATAGGATCGCTTTGGAAACTGAACATGATATGTCCTCTGTGACACCGGGGAGGCTTTCCTGCAGTCAGGTGACTGATTTGTGTGGTGGGAGGAGCTTCCTCTGTGTGATGTGTGTCTGCAGCAAATGGACAGTTTGTCCACAACAGCTGTTCCTCCTCTGAAGTGTGGCGGCGCTTCCACCAGCAGACCT